AAGCACTGACTTTTATTTTGACTCACACTCAATACTGAGTAAAGTATTGTTTTACGTGTTTGTATAGTTTTACATGTAAACCATGATGCTGTTGTTAAATCAACATCCACATGAAATGCAGTGACTGCTGGCATGGAAGGTATAGTCCTGGCCTCTCTCTGGGGTCAGTCAAAAAACAAATATTCAACAGCCAGTGTTTGTCGCATTAATGTTATGATATTTACTCAATCCAATAATATTTGCATTACCGTGATAATTATGCAAATACAATAAAAGAAAAACCTGTGAGGCAGGTAAAGTTTCAATGTTTGGCAGAGGAGTCGATCGACATCTTGCAAGAACTTTTAAACACTACAACTCAAATTAATCGACACAACTGGATTTGTGTGTTTGTGTATTTGTGAAAAGAGAGTTGTTCCGTTCAATTAATATCTCGCCACAAATCTTTAATCCGCCCTGTCAGATAATCCTCCCTCTGCGGTGCAGTGAAATGCAGTGACTGCTGGCATGGAAGGTATAGTCCTGGCCTCTCTCTGGGGTCAGTCATAAAACAAATATTTAACAGCCAATGTTTGTCAGGAGGGAGTTTCTCTCCGCTCTGCCTCTTTATACAGGCTTGTTTTTAATGATCTGTGTGTGTGCGCTGTTCCAGCTTTTACTCTTTACTCACTGGGGTTGTGTAAGTCTACCCCGCAGGTGAATGCAACTCTAGTGTGCACACAAACAGGCAGCACTTTCTTTGTGATGCTTGAGCATAATATCAGCAGAACATGGCACAGAATGGATTTGGGCTTAAGTGACATAAGTGACATTTGGACAAAACAGATTTAAGTAGATTTAATGATGAAGAGAACTTAAGAAAAAGTATTTTACGTCATTTATTTCTAATTATCTCCCAAAAAAAGAAACGTATAAATCCTCTTAATTTTACTGTCACCAGAGTCGTCTATCATGTGCTGACGCTTAATTAATGAAAGTAGTGAGAGTCTTTACAACAAAGGTTAACACAGGACAGTGGCTGCTTGATACCTACATTTATTATGCCTCAATAATATTTTGACCTTTAAGTTGTAAAATAAGTTGTCTTATATATTTTCTGTAATTAGATGACATTTTATTCAGTTTTTATTTAACTGTTAACTGGACGATTTAACAAACTTAGTATTTATTTAAGAATGGGAACAAAATTGTGGTTGGAATTCTAACAAACTGAAAATTGTTAAGCATAAAAGTTGCAGTTGTTTAGTTTTTTGAATTTTCAGGACAGTGTGTACTCATTTGTGCATGTGTGTGGATGTGAGACCCTGGTAAATGCTATGTCCTTCTATTTTACTTTGACTTACATCCTCTTCCACCCACCCACTCACAAACACACACTCTGCACACACACGCACTTTCTAACCAGATATCAGCTACATCTGAGATGCTGTCTCTGCTAACTTGCCCTTAAGAGGAAGCCACCAAAGCAAAAGCATTGTCTTGAACTGCTGCCAATCTGCATGAATCACACTGCGTGCTTGTTATGTTGCATGAAAGCACGGCCTCACACAGACGACCCCTCTGAACACATCAAGACTTTTATTTTCTGTTCTTTTTTTGCAAAGCCTAAAACCAGTCATGGGCTTTCATGGCACGTTGCAAAACTCTTGATCCAATCTTTAAAGTAGAAATTGTCCAAAATGATAAAGTCATAAATACAAACCAAAGAGTGGGAACTGGTACAAGAGTGAATAGTTATTCAAATGAGTATTTCTCTGCAGACATTGATCCGCATAACAGACATGCATGCACAAAATCTGCCCTTGCAAAAATCTTGCTGAAGGGAAAATGTAAATGCATCTTAAGAGCACAGAAAATCAAGTATGATGAATTCATTGTTTTTATTAACAAGTTTGATTTTGAAAGTTTTACATTGTGCTCACATCAAAGCCATGATTCATTCCGTGTGAAGTGCATTTCCTGTGTTATCGGTCATGTTAGTTAAAGCTCTTACAGAGGTGAGACCTGTTGGGTGTTAGTAAATGTACGTCAATCTCACTGGTTTGCAGATGTTTATTTGAGGGATGTGAATAATCTAAGGTGAGAGAGTGTGAAACCTTCTCCCCCGTCTCTTCTTGCTTTCTTTTCAAACCTCACTCACTCGTCCTTTTCTTCACATCTCTTTTTTTTTTTTTTCATCTTCCTCCTCCACCCTGGCCTCTATGATATTTATTTCTCTTCTTTCTTTTAGGTAACAGTGTTCGTATACAATGACCTGATGCTGGTGACAAGAGAAGATGAACCAGGCAGATGTAACGTGCTTCAGAGCCCCCTGTACCTCAGACAGCTGCGGCTCCAGGACGGTACGTAAGCGTTAATACACGAGACACACAACTGAGTGAAATCCTGGATTTGTGCAGGTCGTCACACATTTCAATGTCGAACTGTAGTAGGACAAATGTTGGATTCATCAACCAATCAAAAAAAATCACAAATGTAATTTTTTTTTTCCTTAATATAATAGAAACAAAACATCAGAGATAATTTACACAAAGGAGAGTTCATGTGACTACGTCAACAAGTTTCCGAAAGGCCAATACTACAATCTGTTAACAGATTAAACACAATAGTAAAAAAAGAAATGTTACATTTAAACACTCGAATTGCGCAACTAGAAATAAACGTACAGGACTATTATCGCTATTTCAGCTCAGCTTAACCAGAGGATATTTAGGAAAACACTGCCCAAGTTCCTGTTGCTTTGTCTTTTTATTTCACCTTGGTGTAAACAGTCATCTCCTCTGCGATGTGGAGAGAATAGTTTGGCCTCACTGTAAATATCTGTGTTTAGAGTGGTGGGTGGAGGCGTGGGCAAAGTTTGGAGTCATGTTTGGGGCAGAATAAAGAGAGAGGTACTTGGAGATAGTGGTAGACAGTAACCAAGTACATTTACTCAACTATGGTACTTAAGTACACATTTGAGGTACATTTGTACTGGTTACTTTTCAGATGACCTTGTAAATGATTTATCTGCCGAGAATTTTGAACGTTTGTGATTAATTGAAGGACGACGGGTTCGTTTGTTTTTGTGGGGAAAATTCTAAATAGCCCTTTTAAAATTGAATTGGCTGGAAAATGCATCGTCACATGGAAACCGGCTGCTTCTCTGAGCTCATGTAACGTTCGGTTCTCACTGATTAAAGGGGATCTTATAGAATATCATGCGTGGCTGTAGATTAAACCACCCCTTTAATCTAACATCAAATCTTAAGTGATAATTCATCACTATTGTAAAATTGTGCCAAAGGAAATAAGCACAAAATGTAGTTACGTTAATGACAGTGTGGTTACCTCTTGCTTATTGGCTTGATTAGAATCAACACAAATGCCAAACAGTAAAATTGCTTGGGGTGTTAAATGCAGACGCACAATGGAAATATAAAACCACACATGCTCTTTGCGGCCAAGGTTGACACAGTGAGGGAACAGTTAATAAAGACATCCAATCAACACATTAACGATAGCACATTAATCCTGATGCAGGGTGATACACTCGTCCTCCCAGACATCGCTGCTCTCCCCTGCAGGGGCCACTTCTGACCTCCACCCTTCAGCCACACAAGCAGAGATCTCCAGGGTGGGGATTCAGTAGGGTTTGCGTGTCTGTGTGTTTCATGAGAGGACACACACACAAACACATGCACACACATCTCCACCCTGCTGCCTGTCATTGTTATTTCTCTTCGGCAACGTCACTCAGGAAAGAGGCGCCAGGGGATTGTGTTTGTTTCAGCAAGGGCGTGTTTGACAAGTGTGTGTAGAGTGTGTGTGTGTGCGTGCCTGTGCGTGTAATGACACAGTGCAAGTTCAATTCAGGGGCTTTCCTGTGTTCCTGTCACCCAGATACTCGGCTGATGAGCGTGGGAATTGAGTGCAATATTAAATAGTGATCATGACCACACACACACACACACACACACACACACACACACACACACACACACACACACTAAATAACCATTGTGCAAAACAAAGTCTACTTTCACCAAAGTGTTAAATTAATGCAATGTACTACTGTACCCTGCAAGAAGCAGAACAGTTTTCAGAGCATTCCACTTCTGAGATCTGTGTTCTTCATTAGATTTCACTGGAGTATTTACTATGGCAATGATATGAAGTGTTTCACTCATATTAGAGATGGTAACTTAAGAATAACCAACAAATGTCTTTTTAAGAACGTTCAGGAGATTATGGTTGTTTCCATGACCTATAAAAACAAAACCATTCTTTCAATTAAAATACATTTTGGACATTTTTAAATACTGAATGTCATTTACAAGGTTTTTTATCTGACTTTATCAATAAGCTTCACTCGCAGGCTGTATGATGGCACTCTGAAAATCTGAAAAATATCCAACAGTGACCTCTGCTGTTAGTTATGAAAACAACCACATGTTTTTAAACATGCAAAACTCAACACTTCTCATGGGTCCTGTTGTCTCAACATCACACACACAGACCATAACCACTCCTGCACCCATTGTTTTTTGGCCTCTTTAAATACATTAGATATTATCAAATCTACAAGCTGTAAAATTCTTAGTGGAAATCATTTTACAAGCAGAAAATATTAGTGATCATCGAAGACATCACAATTTATGGTGAAGTTATGGAGTCTGGATTTATACATTATAGTAAACACTTTTGTCTCATGCTCTGCTGGAACGTTTTCAGGCGTAAGTGCCCAGTGCTCCAGAGGAGGAGCTCTGTTCTGAGGCTGAGCCTAAAGAGAATCTGAATTTAGTAACTTAATGAAGGACGACTTTTTAAATATCCCCTCCAGACATATTTTAAAACATGAAGTGCTCTGCTTTAGATAGTAACCTATGTATCATATCAAAAATAAATGACACTCTTAAAAAATATTAAAGTTAATTTTACTCAACTACGTCATTACATGCTCATACAAACTTCCTTCTCCAAATGGCGCTCACATGCCAAAATCCGAAATCACGCTGACATCATCCGTCCTCTCTTGACTGGAAGTGACAAGATTTCTTCCTAATTAAGTCATTTCAGTATTTTTATCACGTCAGCTGGGCGACAGCAACATCCTTGAAGCCACAATTCACTTCTAGCATTTCTATTTCCATGCTCTCACAGGAACAACCTCATTGAAAAACGATGCATTCAGTGAGGGTCACAGTAGTAAATGCTCCGAGAACTTCATCAGCTCCTCGATCTGAGTCATGCGGTCGTACACAAACACATCTCTTCCCTCCAAAGTTAGAAGTTATTTTCCGTGAAAGTTTTCTGTTTTTGTCGGAGCTGTTTGGACATTTAGAAAAAAGTGAGGTCCACCAAACAGGACTCCCAACATTTGAATCAGAATTTGATGAGAGTTGATGGGTTATAGACACACAGATGGTGGATACAGCCGATAGATTGATAGATTGAAATATATACTGTAGAATGGATGGAGAGGTAGATGGATGGATAGATTGACGGATAGATAGAAAGATAATGAAAAATGGATGGAGGGATAGATAAATTGAAAGATATTCTGAAAGATGGAGGGATAGATAGATAGATGCTCTTATATATCTATACAATGGTGGCAAGGAAGCATTAAATCTTACACCTCAGGGCCAATTTGTTAAACATTGGAAGATTGCTAGCCACAGCTTTTGTGTGTGTGTAATAAAAAGCAAACATCACCACAACATATTGCTCATGTGGCTGTATGTTTGTTAGTGTGTGTGTGTGTGTGTGTGTGTGTGTGTGTGTGTGTTAGAGGGGAGGGATCATTCGATTAAAACCATATATCTTGACTCCAGATGCGCAGGCCTGTCTCACAGAGTGCTTCCTCTGTGAGTTATGCTTCGGTGGATGTCTATAAGGCTGACCTGCGGCATCAATACGATTATTTTTACTTAAATCCTAACTGTAAATCAATATGCTCCAAATGTCCTGCAGTGTGTACAAGAAGGAAGATTGGAAATTAAACACAGGGAGTATTTATGGGTAGTAGTGCAGAAGTAGTATTAATGTCTTTGTTCCTTTGTGTTACAGATTATGCTGAAGAGCTGAGGTTCTACCTTATTCACATGACCGAGGTAAGAGAAGAGACTGGTGTGTGTTTGTGTTTGAAAGAAGGAAGAGAAAAAGGGGAAAGGAGGCTCTAATGTGAACAATTTAGTTCTGTGAGCCGGAGGGGCAATTGACTCTGGTGGAAATCACATTACAGGGAAGACACAAGGATTAGCAGAAAGCTGTAATGAAAATGTCTTTTCTCTGTGTGGCCGTCAGACTCGACTCCATCCCAGACCCATCTCTATCTTGACTAAAGCATTTAATATAAAATGTTATGTTTGTTCCATCAAGAGAGGTTATTTTTTTTATTATGTCTGTGCATTTCACAAACACAGATTTAAGATAATCCTTATTTTAAACTACAGTGACACTCAGTTGATAGCTCTGTCAAGGATTAGCAGTCCCCTTCAATTCTGCACCAGATCCATCATGTTTGTTTGGACACAGTTGTAAAACTATTGAAGATACATATAAACTGTTGATTCCAAACTGAATCCTCATTAACTCATATTCACATGATGGTAGGTGTGTAGCCCAATTTGTTACCGTACAGCCGCTGAAAAGAGCCTACACCCCTATGAACCCACATTTTGCACACACTCAGATATGAACCCCCTCAAGATGTGTTGATTCCTTTTAACAAGACCAATGCATTATCCCTCAGGAAATCATTAAGAAAAAGTCTTTTCTATGTTGGAGAAGTATTTATTTAATATATGCCACAATATTTTTTTTTTACACAATCGTAGTTACGGCATTTATTGCAAGTCATCGTCCTTTATTCTACCCGCTGTAATCAAGTACCTCTATCTATCAATTTAAGATGAAGAGGGGAAGCAGAATTATTAATATTACATTGAGGTGGTTACCAATTATTCAACAACTGAAATGGCATTTTGAGAGCTCACGTCCTCCATTGTTTCAGCAGCATAAAAAATGAATGAACACGACAGAGAAGTTCTAATGGTGTAAAGACTGGTCTGAGCAAAAGTTTAAAGCTTCCTATATCGTGAAGCAAAAAGAAAAGACTTCAAAATGATATATAACAAGATTTAGTTTGAGATGTAAAATCCAAAGTATTTTTCCTTCACAACTGTTTTACTTCGTGAAGTGCTGCTCGACATGATTAGTTTTAAAATCTCTCAGAATATCAGTGGGGTTCTGCATGACTGTCCTCTCTCTTGTCATTACAGTGTTTAGACAGTGATTTCACAGCAAAAGCATAAAAGCAAGCTGCTGCTCTCTCACAGGATTTGATAGTTTTGGAGCCTGATTGGCTGTTTTCAGTCTTAATTCATTTACATTTTTTTGTCTTGGCAGCTTGGCTGTAGTTAATGAGCATGTTTGCAGGTGGTGGTAGACAGACCATCTCTCCTCTTCTCTTCAGCATCCTCTCTTCTATTTCCACCACTTCTCTTCATGTCCATTTCATAACATACAATTTTTTTAAAACGCAGAAAGTGTGAGGGAATAGAACTGCAGGTTACATCATGCTTCTAATGTTGTGTTATGTTTTCATCACTTCATCCTCTCCCTCCCTCCTCTTGCACACATCTCTCTGTGTTATAGTACAATTATGGCAGCTGTCGCACACTCTCTGGAGCCACCTCACAGAATATTATCTTGTGTAAAAGAAATATTGTCTCTGTGTCTGTTCTTATATCATCATCACCTGCAGTCATATTTCTCCCGATGCACAACATGTAATCTCACACGGCGTAAAAGTGCATTGAAAACTGCTCAGTTTGCTAAATAGCATATGTAGAGTCGTGGATGTTGTGCTAACAAGGCTGTGGAGCATGTTGAGACTCAATATCAATATCAGATCCAAAATCTAGCACCCAATCTGGATCCTTTTCAAAGCCTCACAATATCTCAATATTTTCAATTAATTAAAGTTATAAATAACTTGTGTTAAAAAATTTCGTAACAGCGTAACTCTCAAGCTTTTACTTAGCAAGATTAATATTCATAACTGCAAATGAGAAAAGGAGATAAGGAACACAAGCTGTATCCGACACATTAAGAGAATAAATGTGGCCTACTTACTTTTGCATCATATTTATCACAAGCTAATCGCTCCACATTACTCCACCAGTCCTTTTAGATTCAATCAAGCTGCACCAAATTTCACACACTCGTAGATATCAGTTGCCAAAATATGCCAGATTTTTTAATTAAGATCCATAAATTATTCCCTGGGAAACTGGTGAAAATCAAAAAAAAAAAGGCCCTGTTTGGCAATGTTTAAGAAATTATCATTTATCCTGAAGGCAATTTGGTTTAGTGCAATTAAAAGAAAAACAAGATATAATATACATGCTGACCAGCATCCACTTAAACAATAATAACACAATAAAACACCATTAAAGAGTAGTTTAGTTACATTGAGCTAAAGGCGCAATTTCTTTGGATAAATATATTCTTCCACGAACATTCTGAGAAATTCGTAGTTTTTTTTTAGATAATCCTGCTGACAAACAAAACAAACATCAAAATAGCCAAAGGTGAAAACCATAGTCGTCATATTAATGTACGTTCTGTTTTGTGATGAAGACAGACTGAAAAAAATGTTTTACTTAGTAAATAATGACATTTTGCAACGTCATCGTTTCGTGCTGCTTTCACATCCCATTGGGAAAAGTAGTCTCTTTATGCTCGGGTGCCACAGACAGCATCCACTCACTAACTCTGCAGCAGCACCAATAGTGTTTTCTGGTGTGAAGCCGGAGAGGCTCCTCTTCTCATTGCTGCACTAGCGACTCCCGGTGGTCGACTCGAGCACCTGTGCAAAGAGGTGTCGCACTGAGAGGGGGGGAGTTTGTGTAAACGCCCTGTTTGTGCCACCCCTCCCTGGAGGAGCTCTGCAGTCGACTGTGCGCATTGATGGAAGAAGCATGACTGTGAACTTTGCGACTCTCAAATCAGTTTATATAAAGTGTCTTGTGAATCTATAGAACTTGGCCTGAACACACCAGTCTTTCTGTTTTGCTCTTATGTAAGAAACGAATGCTTTTCAACACTCCACACTTGAAGTGAAGATGTCTTAGAAGTGTTTTTAAAGTATAGGCTTAACATACCGGATAGCTGATGCTCTTATTTCCCTTTTTTTCCTTTAATCCATCCATCCACTGGGATTCTTCTGCAGTTTTTCGCACAGTTCATCTTTTCTTCGAGAAGCTGTATAAACCCTGACCTCCTGCCACACACACAACAGCTTTTTGCTCTGATATGTGCTGCATAACCTCATTAGCATCTTGTGAATCTTTTTACGGGGGCTTTTTCAGAAATTCCAGACAGAATGAGAGGATTTCTGTCCCACAGGCTGAAGAAGAGGAAGGAAAAAAAAAGCCCCAATATTATTCTATCCAATTAGGCAACATATATAAATAGAAAGTCTTACGCAAGCAGGATGAAAGAGAGGAGGAGAGAGGGAGTTTCAAGGAATTAAAAGGTAGATTTGGGTTTTTATGCGACACATTAAAAAGGTCTGCAGGGATACAGGGATGGTTGTACAGTAGCCTGTCTTGTCATATTTCTTCAGTTTCTTATGCCATGCAGTTTCTTAATGCCTTTTTATTCCAGTTATTCAAATGTCATGGATGCACAAATAAATCTAACTTCACATACTGCACCACAATAGCAGTAGGGACCTCCGACAGCTTGATAGTTGCTTGCGTCCTTCTGAAAGGATTCTCCCAAAAACACCAGACCAGTGCTGCAGTGTGTATGACAGACGACAGAGGAGGTCAGAGAAACAGTGAAGAGACAGAGAGTGTGTGTGTTCCTATATCTTTATGAGGAACATTTTAAAGCATAGACCCTGCAGAGGGAGGTTATTTTTGGAAAGTGAGGACATTTAGACCGGTCCTCACTTTTGCATAGGGCTGTGTTGAGGGTTAAGACTTGGTTTTGTATCTGTGTGTGTCTTGTTGTTGACAAAAACCTGGTCCTAATGAGACAAAACTTCATTTCTAAAGTCCTGGTTAAGGTAAGAATGAAAGTATGAATTAGTCATTGTTAAGGTTAGATATAAGGTTTTGTTCCGGCTATCCATAATGAATGGAATTCAATGCAAAGTACTGTTAAGTATAGCTGTACAAACGTTTGTTTGACTCCAGCTAAGATTTACTTCTACTACTTCTGTTTTCCCCGTCGGACTCGTTCCTCCATCCATCTTGTCAGATCCCCCCCCCCACACACACATCGTGCAGTCATCTATTATCGTTGATACACCTGTCAGCAGTCCATTTCATACCTCAAGGAGCAAACGGTAGCCACAGTGAAACATCACATTGCTTCTACTGTTGCTCTTACCTCACACGTGTACTGTGACTCTCCTCTCCAGCAGCTGCTTAACCGCTGTAGTACTCGTTTATCTTTGAGTGACGACAGACTTTGCGGAGAAGCTGACCTTCTTGGCCCGCTGGTGGGGTGCACTGGCGTGTGAATTGGAGGAGCGTGTGAGGTGGAAGGAGGGAGGGAAGAAAGGGGAGGAAAGGAGAAACATCTAAAGTGACTAGGAGAGGACATTTACCCATGTCACAAATAGCTGCACTATTTAGCCTCGTTGATCAGAGGAGATAAAGAAATGTTTGGAGATTTTGGATGACCCTGACCTTCGCTGTGTGTGTGTGTGTGTCTGTCTCTCTGTGTGTGTGTGTTCGCTTTGTTTGTTTACGTTCACTCAAATGAGATATGTGTGTAATGTGATAGACTCTAATTGAATTGCACTTTCTGGCTTGTCTGTGCAAAGGTCACACACACTTATGAACACACACACACACACACACACACACACACACACACACACACACACACACACACACACACAGACAGACACATGCACTAACTGAGAGAAAGACGAGGAGAGAGAGATTTGGGATATGCTCTCATGTTTTTAGTGAAATTGCTTTGGCCCTCAAGACAGTAATTTCCCTCTCTGTTAATACTCCTGACCAGGTCACCAACTAAAACCAGAATAACAAACAGACAGAAACAGAGTCCAGTTTTTTTTCACTTG